ACACCCAGCCCACCCTCAAGATGTATTACGTTATTTAGCATGAGATGATGAAATGATCTATTTTTAATCAATAATTTCTTCCTTTTTGTTGTTTATTATAAAATATTCGAGGTTTTAATAAACATTTTCTCTTGTTCTTATCGATTTCAATTGTTCTGAAGGATGAATTTATAGAAAGCCAATCAATTTGAGAATCTAGTCGTTTCTATGTATTTTATTATTTTTGAAAATTTCAATAGTGAATAGGCGACTCTTAGTATCATGTACTATTTTTGCACTTTACAGATGTTAAAGCATTAGAAAATAATACGGTACAAGTGGTAATTCTTAGATCGCAGACATATCTAATTCTTCTCGGTGTTACCGATATGTTTGATATTTTACTAATGCATATTATTGTCCTTTGCTAATCAATTATAAAAACCTCAGTGTAAAAGTTTCCCTCTGAAACTCTGAAGAAGAACTCAAAAATGTATTTACTCATGTGACAGCAAAAGTTTTCCCAATCTTGTGCAATGTTATCAAATACTGTTACAAGAGAATGGTGTCATTATATTTGGAAGGTAGACGACACATTTTTACGTTCTGATTATTTGATTCGAGTGCAATAAAAAAAAGCTTTTATAATAGTCATTCTGTTTTTTTTATTCTTTTCCCCAGTCATAAGACTAACGGGTGGGCCAGATTAAACCGGCCACTTTTGCTTGCTTTATTCGAGCAATTTAAACATAGTCTAAAGACTTTGTTCTAGAGTCATTCGATAGAGAATTTTTGCTCTACAAAACTATGTACTTTGTTTTTCAAATAAGTTTTTCCTGTCATCATAAAATTGAAAAGATTACAACCTCCTCAATCATACAACTGCGATTTCCTATTAGCAGCAGACATCTATAGATTTGTGTAAGCCTATTCTCATGAACTTTGATGGTAACAGAAAAGTATTTAGCATCAAAATATAGAGAATTTTACGCTCTATACTTTCACGATCTTTTCAAGATTTCTGTTGCTGTAGTTCAGGAGAAAAAGATTTCAAATGTGTTCTTGGAAGCCAGATTCACTCTATGAGACATTTATTATTATGCCGTCAGATGTAGAATTTAATATCGAACAAAATGATGTAACTGTTAAATTGTATAACGAAAACTTTTAGATTGTGCCGAATTAAAAACAACAATGATATAGACTTGCCAAAAAAGAGTTTTTTCCGATGTTTTCACAATTTTTACTGCAAAATCTTTTCTTCCAAATGTTTCTTCTAAAATTGTGAAACATGCATTAAAAGGTGCAGAGTTTTATGGAGAAGCTTGTAGTATATTGGAGTTTTCAGTGGAACTGTAATTTTTAAAAAATTATCATTTCTGCTTCGTTTTTATAATATGAAAATATTCTAACTCGTCATCATGAAGATAATATCTTAAAACAAGCATGCTCGATTATTTTTCCAAGAAAAACTTCTTCATATCAATCATTTTGTCGTCTTTTAGCTTTCCACACGTTTACTAAATAGATTAATCAATGTGAAATTTAATGATCCACATGTCAAAGTCAATCTTTTACTTCGAACTCATCTATCACATATTCAATGATTAGCTGAATTTCAAAAAGATACAGATGAAATCTTAATCAAAATAATCCATTTTCTTATCTTATATTTCGATCTGTTTCTTTTCATTTGATAGGTCATTTGATTGATTCAAGCATCTGTTGATTATTAAGTTCTAATGGTTGGTTATCACCAGCCTGAGCAGCTATAGAATTAGCACAAATAATTACACAAAGAATATAGAATATATTAGTAGAAGAATTGTGAGACCTAATATGACTATTTTACAGGAGTAAAACGGGAAATTTCCAACAGGCTGATTTCATCTCATAACGACCCTCCTCGTTTGTTTGACGTATTCGACTAAGTTTTTGTCGTGATCTTTTGTACAACTTATTTTCAGAAAAAAAAGGCAAAGATGTAAGAGTTATCATTTTGGAGAGAAATCGTTGGAGAGCAGATGAAATATATTTAACTCAAATAGCTGGAATTGAATAATAATTATTTGATTTGTGGAAAGTGACAAGTTGAAGAGTGAGTCGGCTGATGATATATCTAAATGAGATATTTAAATGTTTTCAGATGAGAAAAATCACTTTCTAAACTCTAAAGTTTGTCAAAGTCGGAAACTAATTTATCCGCCATAATGATGGTCAGAGTTAGAGAACAAAGATAACGGTGAAACTTAGTTAGAAACAACTGGAATATATTGAAATTTGGTCGATATTTCTTAGAATCACGATTATATCGTTCGATTTCTAAGTGAAGCGTATAGAAAGAAATTTTCTTATTCAAAAATTCTTTCAATATGTCGTTAAAAGCGTTGAGATCAAGTCCCCATGATCATATTGACTATTAAGATCTTTTCTGTTACTGATAAACAGGTTGAATGTTCTAGATCAATAGTGATCGAAAAGAGAATTGATCCAAGATCGACAAACGAACGAACGAACGAAGAGCGAGCTGTTTATTATCTTGCTGCCAAAGCACTTGATTTTTTTCCAACAACAAGAAGAAACTTGTCGACTGTCAAGGTAGAATATCAAATCCAGCAACGCAAATGTATCGAGAGGTGACCTCATCAGCAGGTTATCACCGATATAATCTCTCTCCTCATATGTCATGTTCGACTTACTTTGACTTGTTGATAATTGTTTTCATCAAAGTGTCTCTCTTTCCAATGAATATATTTGTGATGAACGTATCGAACTGTTTCTCATCCTTTTTGCTTTGTCATTCTACGAAAGTTACTTTTTCACTATAATTTACAGTAGAGAAGAAGTATGAAAGAATTGAGTACGAGAAGCTGTCTGTATACTTCACGTTTATTAACGTTTGAAAAAAAAATAAAGGTAGACAGACATCACACAGGTGACACACTACGTAATTGCACTTTGCTTATTCAACGATCGTCATCATGACGCAAGCTATGTTGAATAAATTACTGAAAACCAATTTCGAAGAATATCAAGTAATGTGGAACACGGGTCTATCTCATTCGCACAGTGCTCATTATCTCAGCTTATTAGTATAGTTAGGAGCCAATGATAAGCAAATGGAAGAAATGTATGACAATAATATGCGTCATGACTCCAAAAAATATCAGCCTTCGCCACACGAAATCACCAAAGACAATCAGTATGATTCACTTGAGAATCCTGAATTTTGTTCGATCTATCAGGATTTTTTTAATGCAAAACTCATCACTCGAGGTGGTTGGAAAGAAGCATCTTTTCAAATACTTCTCCATGAACGAAAGGATCTCTACTTATCGATACGATCTAGTATGAATTCACTCATTCGATTATTCACATCAGGGACGCTATTGAATTAAACAATTCGACCAGTAGCATGTGAAGCATTGACAATGACTATTGTGTACCGTGACACTTTACATCAAGTGACTAGCAAAATAAAACCTTCAAGACATGGAACAAAACAAGCTCTTCAAATAATCAAAGGTCTTCGCTTCAATGAAAATACACCAAGTATTCCTGAACCCTTTCCGACTACTTCATTGTTAACGTACGAATCCTTCTTTTTTTCTTACTGCAATCAATAGCAAATGTCCGATGATATTAATCAAGTGATTGAAGACCTATGTGACATGTCTGTTTGCATATATGCTGCCACAGATAAACCAGATTAAATTGATTTTGATTTTATTCTCTTGCATCTTCCAACGGAAAACATCCTCATTCGAAAGATTCGACTTCTGTTGAATCAAAGTATTATCAAAAGGCTTCTACAAGCCCTCTTATATCTAGCAACCGCTATCTACATTTGTCAACGAAAATCGACGAGAGTTAATTGATAATACAAAGTGAAAGATGACTACAATTGGGAATATGTCATCGATCGAACATGATATGCACAGTTGGCAACAGAAGTTCATGTATCAATATTATATGTGTTTCGAAAGATGCTTAAGCAAAGTGTGGATCAAATGAGGGACTTTATTTGATTCCGACGATTGAAACAGTTGATAATTTGAAGCAAGGTTGTGCATATGACGTTCTCAAGTCGTACGAACCTCGGCTTGGACTATGCGACGTGACTCGCAAGTTAAATGTAAAACTTTAGTGTCTCCATACTCAATTCAACAAAAGTATCATCATTGTCGCACTTCATTGCTATATTCAAGGAAAGTCAATTAACTAGAATGAAAATTTTCTCGTGTTTCATCTTTTCTAATGATTAACAACATCTTCGTAAAGCTTACCTTAACTTACACCTAAAATACTTGGACATTTTATTCGATTTGTTTTATATAAGTAAGATACTATACAGGAAATGTTCCCAATAAGAATGGCTCATACAAATGTATGAAGAAAAAAAATTATTAAAATCGATATTCAATATTTTAATTTGAGGATTTGAATGAGAAGATATGTCAAAATTTATTTGGCTCGTGAAAATAGAAACAATATTTTCTATAATTAGTGTGATCTTATTTGAACAAAATAGAAAAAAAAAGCTATTGATCATAGAAATACCGTTGTAAAATCTGTTCATATAGATGGTAGTTGCTATTAAATAAATGTTCATAGAGTTGATGATTTATGAGATAATCATTACTGAATAATTAAAATTCGAAATTTGTTTGAAAAAAGATTTTGACCATCAGTTATATAGCTTCTCTTTTCTGTTTATCATGAGCTATTATTTTGTGTTAAATAGGAAATGCTAATATTATCATAGAATATATGGAGCATTGTAACCTCGAATTCTGCTAAATATTGAAAATAATACCAACTAAATAAGATGAAAAGTACAGTAGATCTATCTCGGTTGTAAACAAGTTGGAGTTAATTATTCGATAGTTAATGGAAGTTTAGTAAAGTATTTTGCTACAAGCAGATATTGTCATTCTACTCTATTGATTTAATGAACAAATTGAGAAACGACGCACAACAAGATTTTTTACAAAAAAGGAAAGTATAGATAAAAAATTTTTGGTTGCACTAAATCTATCATTTCATCGAATATAATACATTTCACTTTTGCACAATTGATACGCGTTGCATCTCTTGTGAAATTCTCTGTAACAGTTGTTAAATGTTCATATGGAACGCTAAGCATGCTAAGACAAGGTAAACAAGTATTCAAACTAGAAAGAAATTGTTCCACATAGTCTATATGTATATCAGACAGGATAAGTTCTTCAAGGTGAGAATATTCAATAATTGAAGATATTTCTTTGGATTGCTTCGACCGCCACGATGGTTTTTCTAGTCGTTCTATTCTATTTGATACGGTCAGCCGACGAAGTAATGGAAAAGAACGCGAGATCTTAGCAAAGAATGTGTTTTCAAAAGAACGAACAATATCGCACACACGTAAAATGCGAACATTCATAAACAGACCACCTGGAAATCTGGATGTAAGATAATTTATACGTTCTATAGTAAACGGAAGTGAATAAATGTGACATCGACCTATGTCATTTGTGTAATAGTCAACATAGCAATCAGCATAATATCCACCTTCGATGAGCGTGTGTCGAATATCATCAGAAGACGGTTTAGGATGTACATTAATCGTTGTATCATCGCTGACGATATCGAATAAAAATGTATGCAGATGTGACATGTACTTGGATATTTCATTAGATAGATAAATACCATCAATAAATGAATTTCGACGACGAACACGAAAGGACAGTGTCAGCTTTTCCATATTTGACAATCGACGAAGGAGCGGCACAACTTTATTGTCAAAGTCAACAGTTGGACGATTTATATATAACGAAAAACATTTCAGTTTAAGTAACGTATCCTAGAAAAATAACATAAAAAGTGCTTAATAATCTTGTGTAAATAACTCGTTTAATGAACGATATCTCAATTGTGTAACTAGATCCCTGATGGATAAATGCTTTATTTTAGAGAATTTTAACGATCGAAAGAGGAACTTATAAATATATAATTAGAGACATATAATAAACTTTAAAAAAAATCAAATACTGCAATATTTTTCATTCTATATTTCCCAGTTTTCTTTCATATAGTTTTTCCTTTCTTTATCAGCAAAATTTATCTTTTTTTTAAACACTAATTTATGATCATTTAATAGAAAAGTTACGGTTGCAAATGAAGTCTAATTGCTCATAATCTTTGAAGTTTATAAAGAATATCATTCTATATTAATTACATTATACTGATCACCAGGATTCTCTAACTTTCCAACGTATACTTGTATAAATCCGCATGTCTTTCTGAGAACTGTCTTTACATAATGTTAATACAACTGCTCCAGCAGATTTTAAAATGAAATAATTTTCCTTCTATTGTAGAGTTCTTTACCTCATTATTTATAATTATTCTTGAATAACGAACGTAGTCAAGTTTGACAATCAATGTATGTAACTGATGAAGGCGACCATCGAGTAAGCAGAGACAATCATCAAAATTATGTATTCTAATACGTAAATGAGCGACAGTGGAAGAATAACATCTTGTAGGAGATAAACCACTCAGTAATCGTCGTGAATAGAGATTACCATCAATACCATCTAAATCCAAATATTGTAAATTTGATAGCCAAGAAAAAATGGCAACATAAGTTTGACCTATTGTAATCTCTTTTGATTTCTTGCAAGATATATCAGTAATCGTCATCGTTAAATGTGAAATTTGATGTTTGTAGGTACGAATAAATAAGGATTTTTCTAAAAATATACAAATAAAAAATTGTTCACTACTATTGATTGAGGATCGAGAAATGAATTACCATACTATTAAAAATATGAAAAGCCATATTCATTTCGAGATTGAGGAGAGTGAGCTTGTGTAAGTTAGGATAGTTGTTAGAATGAAGAATACGTTGAAGCAACGATGCTTGAACGCTAAGAGATTCCACATTATTATGAATTCGAGGCAATATCTGTGTGTGAAATCGATCAGCCATAGCATTAAATCTCGAATCACTTGTGTCATTTGGTGATATTGTCGTTAAATTAATATCTTTAGTAAAACAAATATCACATACAACCTTGTCGAGTTTTGGATTAATACCTATCAGTGAATATAATAAACCAATATTGTTAAGTTTATTGAAAATAATAATCAATATTTCGTCAGGTAAATCAAAAATGTTAACATTCAGACTACTCATATTCATTGAAATTAACAATGATCGCAAAAGCAGTAGATCTATATATTCCTATATTCTGATATAGTTCATTATATAGCGTGCCTTTAGCCGTCCGCGTCGACAATGTTCATTATCACATTGTGAATGCGGTCAACTATGTTCACGTATCAACGAATTCGTTATGTCTGACGGGGTGGGGTGTGGGTGTGGGTGGGTGTGGGTGTGGGTGTGGGTGTGGGTAAGGGTGTGGGTGTGGGTGTGGGTGTGGGTAAGGGTGTGGGTGTGAGTGTGGGTGTGGGTGTGGGT